TTGTCCCTGAAAAATCTATAGTCTGAAGATTGTATGTGTATGTGCATTTTTTATTTTTATGTTTATTAAAGTTTTAAAAAGTTTGGTTTCAAAAAAGTAACTGCAAGTATAACTTTTATTTTAATTTGTTTTTGTATTTCTATTCTGTCTTGTAATAGGATTAATTAAAAGTGTTCCCACTGCTTCATATATTTTAGACTACAATGAAATATTTATTTTCTTTCTTTTGGGCAATTACAAAATCTAATCATGTTTTAAATCACCTTAATATTTTACATGTTATGAGAGAGGTAGAAGACACATTTTGAAATATTTTCAAAAAATATTTAAGTTTTTAACAATAAGATAAATTGGAATAACAGAGAACATTTATGAAATAGCCCACCTGCTATGATGGGTATGACTACACAGTAGGTTTTAGCATAGGAAAAGAATGATATAGATAAGATTTTATACTCTATGTAATATTGTCATTATAAACAAATAATACACTTTGGGAGGCAGAGGCAGGTGTAATTGTTTGAGGTCAGAAGTTTCAGACTAGTCTGGCCAACATGAGGAAATCTCATCTCTACTAAAAATACAAAAATTATTTATGCGTCATGGCAGGCACCTGTTAATCCCAGCTCCTCAAGAGGCTGAGGTAGTTGAATCGCTTGAACCTGGGAGACAGAGGCTGCCATGAGCCAAGATGTGCCACTGCACTACATCCTGAGCAACAGAGCAGGTTAGACTCTGTCTGAAAGGAAACAAACCCCCACAAAAAACAAATAAAACAGTTGACATTGGTTGGAAATGAACAATTTGTGCCAGCTGCATATCAGAGGGGAAAACATCCCTATAGCAATACAACCAATAGTAGAGCTACAAATATAAGCTATATTATAGCTACAAATATAAGCTATATTATAAATCAGTATTATCTTTGCTAATGTGAAGTGAGTCATAGCCACCCTGAGTGAATCTCAACAGTGAAGTGACTGAAATACAGAATCTTTCAGAAATATTAAAAGTGAAAGCAAAACCTGAAATGATCTATAATTAATATGGTAGAGTAAAAAACAACTTTCCAGAAGATGTCTGGAATCTGTGAATGTCTTCTTACTTGGAAAAAAGTATTTATAGATGTAATTAAGTTAAGCATCTTGAGATAAGTTCATCCTGGATCCTCAGGGTAGATAAGTTTATCCTGGATCCCCTTATTCCAATAAGTATCCTTATAAGAGAGATGTACAGAGAACTGACACATGGAGGAGAAAGTGTTATAAAGACAGAAGCAGAGATTGGACTCACAGAACCACAAACCAAGGAAAGAAATGTTGACGGCACCAGAAGCTGGAAAAAACAAAGAAGGATTCCTCTCTAGAGCCTCTGGGGACATTGCAGTTCTGCTAATTATCTTGCTTTCAGGCTTTTGACCAATAGAAGGGTCAAAGAATACATTTGTCTTTTTTTAAGCCACACAGTTGTGATTGTTAAGGCAGTCAGAACTAAATAATATAATCAGGAAAGCTATTTAGGATTCCTGAAATTATAATTTAAGAAATATTCCATGATTATTTCTGGCAAGGCTTTAGTCTTATGGGGTCCTCCATCCTAAGATTTCCTGGAAATGGTATATTCTTGTTCATTGTTACTGATAAATATGATGAGGAACAAACATTAATTATAATTTATAAATTACAGGTTCTTAGGACACAAAAATATATTCTTAACTATGTTCTTTCTTTTAAACTTATAGCTCACAAAAATATATTCTTAACTGTGTTCTTTCTTTTAAACTTATAACTAACTCTTTAGATAGAAAATAGGACTTGTGCATGCTTTCTACAGATAGAAAATTTGCTCACTTTGTCTTGACCTTGAGTTCCCAAATGCCAACAAGAAGACATGAGAACGTGTTTGCCATCTCATGAAATATCTCTTGCATAAATGCCTGTCTGATCCATACTGGAAGTGTTGGTCCTGAACTTTCCAACCTCAATCAAGAGAAATGATGTAGTAATATTCTTTGTCTTTTTGCACACAATATATACTTTATATATTTTTTCTTCACACCAGAAAGAGATGGGGAGGGATGTTAGAGATAGGTCAGAATAGTAGGAAAATTACAGAAAGACACAAATTTTCTTGGAAGGCTGAAAGATTCTGCAAAACCTCAGGAGGAGATTATTGCTGAAGGCAGCCTAATATTCTCTTACCTTGAGCTAACAGCTAGGAGTAGATACTGGGAATGCAGACGAGTTTATCTAGCTTGTTTACTCATGTGGTCCTAAGATTGATCTTTGATATTCTGCAGGTGCATGACTGCTTGCTCCTCTGGAGGTTGGCAATGTTAATTATCCTCTGATGGCACAATTTACTTGACACCTTTGTCATTTAATCTGTACCAAATAAATGTGAACATTACTGGTTTATGGGGGCCACTGCTGACTTTAGCAGAAGTCCGTTGGCCACACTGACTGGCAAGACTTTGTCAGTGTACATTTTTCATCCATCGCTCAGTTGAGTCTGCTGGTCAGACTCCTTGACAGTTGTGCCCCTCTGTAAGGACACTATAATGGATTGAGATGGAACCATCAAAAACAAAGGTGAAAGAACATGCAGTTGTTAAGTCAGTACTTCAACAAGTCAGTAAGTCTGTAAGTCAGTAAGTCATTGGTGCCTTCTCAGGATTTCCAAGTTCAAGGGAATTGTTTAGACTACGGTTTCATCATGGGACAATAGTTACCAGCACAACAGAAATGGTATATAAAGATATTGAAACAGCTGCTTAAAGCTAGAGGAGCCTCAATTTCACAGGCTGAAGTAAGGGATGTAATGCAAATTGTTGTTTCCCAAAGCCCATGTTTCCCATCAGAAGGCATGCTAGATGTAGAGCTCTGGGAACAAGTGAGGAAAACTCTTAAACAACATCATGCACTAGGGCAATGGGTCCCATTAACATCTCTAATGTTATGGGCCTTAGTTAGGGCTGCTATGGTTCTGGTCTACACAGATGAGCCAAAAAGGGAAGGGAAGAGGAACCGTCAACTACCTTACCACCTGCCTCAGCTCAGCAATTACTGGGAAAGAATTCCAAAGAGGAAACAGAGATTTTGCCTGAGCTCCCTCCCCTAATAAATTGGAAAAAGGACAGGGGAGACACTACAGCTATGAGACCCTGACTGAGGCAAATGGAATTAGAAGGGGAACTCTTGGCCTTCCTGTGTGTGATTCAAGATAAACAAATAAATCAGGTATATGCTTGTAAAGAGATAAGAAAAAGCCTTAGAGAAAATGGAGCCACTAGTCCATTTACAAAAGGATTAATTGAGGCCATCACAAACAACTTCCATATCAGCCCATGAGACCGGTCAGTGCTAGCTGAAACAACTTTGTATGCTAGTCAGCCCATTTTCTGGAGGGCAGAATTTGATGAATCATGTGAACAGCAAACTCTTTTCTAATAATGGCCACTCTTATTCCTCCCCTCCCCAACAGCAATCCCTCAAAATTGGCCGATTATTGTTATTGACTTAAAAGACTGTTATTATACTATTCCCCTGGTAAAACACGATAGAGAAAAATTTGCGTTTACAATACCAGCTTTCAATAATGAAGGGTCAGCTTGCCGATTTCACTGGAAAGTGCTTCCTCAAGGAAAGCTTAAGAGTTCTACCATGTGCCAGTATCATGGAAATCAGGCTTTGTTTTTCCAGTAGAAAAGAATTTACTAATTGCAAGATCATTCATTTTATGGATGCTATTTTATTAGCAGCCCAAACAAAGCCTGTACTCTTAAGCTTATATTCCTCTGTCCAGAGGAACACACAGTTGAGAGGTTTATTCATAGCACCTGAAAAGGTACTAATGTCCTCTCCTTGAAAACAACTTGGATACATACTAACTTCTCTATCAGTAAGATCTCAAAAGTTTAAATTAAATACTAGAAACTTTCATATGTTAAATGATGTTAAAAATTACTGGGTGATATTAACTTGCTTCACTCCACCTTGAGCATAAGTACTGGTAAGTTGCAAAGCCTGTTTTCTATCTTCCCTTGATTCTCCCAGGTATTTAACCTGAAGCAAAAAGGGAAATTGAGGGAATGGAGCTAGCTGTCTCTCAGAGGCAACTAGATCACATAGCCTCAGGATATCCAATTCAATTGTTTATCTTTTCCAGTAACTATTCCCCAACAGGATTAAAAGGACAAATGGCTCCAGGACTACACTTTCTAGAATGGCTTTTTTTTTTTTTTTTGGCTCACATACCAAGATGAAAACACTATCTTCCTATATTCCGCTAGTTAGTAAAGTCATCTATACAGGCCGCAGACAATGCAATCAGTTGCTAGGATATGACCCTGACATCCTAAGAATTCTTTTGAGTAAAAAGTAATTCGAAGGAGTATTGCCCCTCTCTTTAGATCTTCAGATAGCACTCTCTGATTATGCAGGCCATTTAGGAGACACCTGTCCTGCTGGCAAAGTGCTTCAGTTCTTATGTACTACTCCTGCGATCATGCTTACAAAAGTAGTTACTTCCTCATAGCTAACATTTTAACACTGCTTACTGGTGGTTCTGGTAAGAATAAAAAAGCAGAGATCTGGAGGAGGCCACAGAATGTCCTTATCGGATCCAAATTTAGAAGCAATCAGAGAGCTGAGGTTGGAGCTTTAATATTGGCCCTGTAGACATTTTCCCTCAGCCCACCAATATTGTTAGTGACTCTGCTTACTCTGTTTATTGCAGAACCTAGAGACAGCCCGCATTAAGTCTACTCTAAAGCCTACACTGTGTGCACATTTTCTTCAACTTCAGCAATTGTTGGATCAATGTACACATCCTATTTTTATCACACATACTTGAGCCCACTGCTTACTGCCTGACCCAGACTCATGGCAATGATCAAGCAGATCTGCAACTTACACTATGTCACTGCTTGACCAAGCCACCCAATCACATCAATTTTTCCATCAAAATTGGAGAAACTTAAGTAAACAATTTCAGCTTACCCAAAGACTAGCTAAATAATTATCTTGTAATGCCCAGATTGCCAGCTCACAGGCATGTCCCCTTCTTCAACAAGTGATAACCCTAGAAAACAAGAACCTAATTAGTTATGGCAAATAGATATTATACACATTCCTGAATTTGGAAAACTAAGAAATGTACACGTATCTGTTGATACCAGCACTCATCTAATTAGTGCACACACTCTACCTGGAGAGTTCACTTGATATGTTATTAAAAATCTTTTAACTTTTGTGTTTATGAGGTGGCCCACAAAAACTAAGCTGATAATGGTCCAGCTTATGCCAGCTCACAATTTCAATGATTTTGTCAAACCCATGGAATGTCCAACATTCCACAGGTATCCCACATAACCACTAAGGACAGGCTGTAGTAGTGTGATATAGCTGGCCTAGAGTTAGAACCTGTACAATGCCATTTTATAAATTGACAAAACTGTTTCCATTCTCCTCACAATGACTGCTAACCTTGGCTTCTATAAACTGCTAGATTATTTGCAGGATGCAAATTAAGGTAAAGCTGCATACCTCCTCTTATCTGTAACTGCCAGAATTGCTGGCCTTTGTTTACCAGAGTAAGCACCCCCAGATAATTTCATCCTGGCACCAAGTAAATAAAAATCTATGGATCCCACCCCCATCCAGATGACGTGTAAACGAATGCTAATCTTAGTATCTGTGAACCCCTTAAATAACAATCAGAATGTCAAATAGTCCCCTGGCCCTCGAAATGTCTGGAACCCCCTCACCCTCATCTCCGCCCAGAAGGTGATTTGAATCCACTGACCCTCGGAATGTCTGAATCCCCTACCCCATCCTTTCCCCTCACCCACAAGGTGATTTTTACGGGTATAAAAGGTCTTGTCACTCTCTTTTATGGGGCCACGGGTTGAAGAGATGTGAGTCCTCCGTGGTCACTGGCAATAAACCCTGCAATTTGGCATACTTTTGTCTTGGTGTTGACTTTCTATGCTCAATTTGATATAACATTTGGAGGCCCCACCGAGATCTTTTATTTTTCATCACCAGACAAAAGCCATCTCAGAGTCTCACCCGAGCAGCTGTTCCCTCCTTGGGAGCCTCTAGGGGAGGCACCCCCTGAGCTGTCTCAGGGCCCCAGAGTGCCACTGTGGAAGAGCGCCCACCCAGCCAACGTTCACCCAAAATTCTTCAGCGTCCTAAAAGCCTCCGGAGGTAGGTTTGGTTTGGAATCTGGGAACTAGTTCAAGGGAAAGGGCCTGAGTTGGGGGACTGATGAGTCACCGCAACTCTGACCTGGCAAGCCTCACCGAGACGTCGCTTCAGGCTTCTGGTGGCTGGCATAGTGGGTGCCAGCCTTCTGGTAGCTGGCATAGTGGGTATCAGCGTTGGGTAGCTGGCATAGTGGGTGTCAGCATTCAATTGTTTTCCATAGCCTCTGTGTGAGTGAGAGAGAGTGTGTGTTTGTATGTAGTCCCATGGCTGAAAGCCATGGGGCTTGAGTGGGCCTCCACCTGCGGTTCCACAGAAGCGTCATAAGGCATAACAGTGATCACCTCAGAGATGTCCTACTCAGACTTCCATCCTGAGGTGACCAGGCCCAGGGGTTATATGTGTACACCTTAGCCAAGACACACCTGAAAGACCCCTCCAGGGGCATGGCCGGGCAGGCAACTGATTGGCCCCCCTTTTTGGGAGGCTCCCCCCCTTCATTTTGTCACTCTTTTATGGGGTTCCGTCTCGTCTGTAAATTTGTCAGTTTTATTAGACTCCTGCTAGCAGAAATACACTGGTTCAGACCATCTTCCCTTGAGGTAGGAGATATATTACAGTGATTGATGAACCACTGGATGCAGGGAAATTTTATTGATTATACACCTGCAGAGATTACTCTCTTCTCCTTCTTTCTCATTTTTTTCTTCTATCACTGAGGCCTCACTCTTTTTTCTTCCGCCATGTGGCAGATATTCTTAACTTTAGTTGTTTTTATTCTCTTCCTTGTTATGATCATTGTGGCCTGTAAATTCTCCCAGCCACCTCCACTGGGAAAAGAGTATTTTTGCCCGTGCTGGGTCTGAGTCCATGTCGGGAAGGCAGTTGTGCCCTCAGCACCTCGGAAGTAGTTTCTTTGGGGTTGTAGGAAACAAAGTCCTAGATCAGGGTCTATGAGAGCTCTTTGTCAGGTTGGGATGGAAAACTGGTAACTGCCTATTCTGTCAGAAAAGTGTCCAATGTTGGGCAGTGGCTGGTGGTGTATCACAGAGAGGCATACTGGCATCATCACAATTGTTGGGAATTCGAGTGCCATAAACCACTAAAGACAGATTGGCAACTCTTTTGCTCGCTGTACGAATTGTGGTGGGTACAAAATACATACCCAGTTGATCTGTTAGTTCATCTCTTTTGCCATTTCCCCACTTTTCCATAGGCTTTGGATAGGAGAGCCTATAATCGGGAGGATTATGCCCGAGCAGCAGTAAACCTCCATAGAGCTTATTCTCGCCAGCTGTGGTTTGCGGAGAGAGAGACCGCCACCTTACCCAGGCCCTTACCCCCTGTTCCTCTGGATAGGACTAGAGACAGACACACCAATTCAATTGTCTGGTCCTTGCAGGACCTGGCTGCGGAGGCCTTACTAAAACCTGCTTTAGAGAGGGCAAAATTTGAATTGGAGGCTTTTCAAAATTGGCTATACCACAGAAAGAGAGAGACACGTGTAGTAAGCAAGAGTCCCGAGAGAAAGGACAAGAAAGCAAGAGAGAGGAAATACGGAGAGAGAAAGGAGACAAACAAGAGAGTGGAAAAAGAAAAAAAGGAGACAGAAATTTAACACTTTCAGGGTCCCTGTGTCAAGGAGACCAAAAGCTTCAGGGGCAGGGAACTCGCAGCCGGCTCAGTGGCTTAGAGCTCAGTTTTAAACTGACACAAAAAGCGGTTTTGTTTTGTTTTTTCCCTCTGCCTACCGCCAGCCCCACCTGGCTTTCAGGCAGACCACACTGCCTCAGGGTGCAGAATTTGTATTAAGAAAAACTGGTTTTAAGAACAGCTTTCTAACTCTTTGTAATGCAAGTTACTTACTAGCACAGCAATTAAGGTGGAGGGGGCTTGCAACTTTGAGATTGGTGGTTCAAATCCTCCGTGAAGCTAGTCTTTTGGGAGAAAATTCCAAATTTGAAGAAAACGACCAAATGGGCTCTTCACAGTCCCGACCATGCACTCCCCTCCATTGCATGATGGAAAACTTTAAAATAGAGTTCTCTGGCCAGTATGGTGTTAAACTAACCCCACAGGGGCTTCAGACCCTCTGTGAGTTAGAGTGGCCAGCCTTTGGGGTAGGCTGGCCAGATACGGGGACATATGACCCCAAGATAACTCAGGCTGTCTGGAACATCGTGTCAGGGCTCCCAGGCCACCCTGATCAATTTCCATACATTGATCAATGGCTGAGGCTGAACCAGCACCCCCCTCCTTGGCTTGAAAAATGTATAAAGCATGCTGGACTTCAGGTTATGCTAGCAGGCCCAAAAAAGAGCCCCTCAGCGCCAGCTGTTCTTCCAGGCACTGCCGAGGACCAAGAGTTGCCTCCACCGTATTCTCGGCCCTCGGGGGTGGGGTCCCAACACCCCTCCCCGACACCAATGACCAGCCCTTGTCTCCTCTCCACACTCAAAGCAGGGCGCCACACCTGCCAGAGCTGTTGCCCCTCTGGGAGGCACCTCCCACAGATGGCAGCAGCTAGGGCCGCCCTTTCTTTGTTCATATCCCCTTTTCCTCTTGTGACTTGTATAACTGGAAGGCGCAACACCTCCATTTTCTGAAAAGCCCCAGGCACTCACAGGACTCCTGGAGTTAGTTTTACAAACCCACTGTCCAACCTGGGATGATTGTCAGCAGCTGCTCCTGGTGTTGTTTACCACGGAGGAAAGAAGTAGAATTAGACAAGAAGCCCATAAAGCAATACTTGGGACATGGGAAGGGTCAGTACAAGACCACCAGGAACAAATTAATGAACTTTTCCCCTTCACCAGGCCCCAGTGAGACCCAAACACGCCAGTGGGCATGCAGGCTTGGAACAATTTTCACTAGTACTTGTTAGAGGGTGTTGGGAGGGGGCAGCTTGAAAACCCACCAACCTCTCCAAGGTAGGGACTGTGATCCAGGGTCCACAGGAGCCTCCAGCTGCTTTCCTTGAGTGCCTACAGGACGCCTACTACACCTACACCCCTATTGACCCTCCGGAAAATCAGCGGGCCATCAATCTGGCTTTTGTTTCCCAGTCAGCCCTGGACATCAAAAGAAAGTTGCAAAAATTAGAGGGGGTCCAGGGAATGAATCTAACTCAGTTGTTGGAGATCACCCAAAAAGTTTTTAACAATAGAGACACCTTAGAAGCCAAGCAAGATAAGAGAGTTACTAGGGCAGTAATAGCAGCTCTCAGGGAAACCTACACCTCCATTGGAGATCAGGAAACCTGAGTTATCTCAAGGGGACCAGAAATCCAGCAGAGAGGCCCTAGGAGACAGAGGCCCCAGCTAGGGCCTAACCAATGCGCATTCTGCCGAAGAGAGGGACACTGGAGGAAGGAATGTCCAGAAAGAAGGAGTCGAGGGGTAATACAGGAAAGACAGCCAAGGGCAGTTTTCAGCTTAGAAACCTGGGAATGACAGACCCCAGGCTCTTATCAACTAAGCCCCAAGGAGCCCAGGGTCACTTTGAAAACTGGGGGCACACCTATCAGTTTCTTGGTTGACACTGGAGTGGCCTACTCAGTCCTTACACAGCCATTAAGACCACTGACCAGTAGAAAAACAATTATTCAGGGGGCTACAGGAAAAACCACATCAAGCCCTTGGACCACCAACCGACTCGATGATCTGGGAAACGGTACTGTCACCCACTCCTTTTTAGTTATTCCAGAGTGTCCATACCCACTCCTAGGACGTGATTTACTCCACAAACTTCAAGCAAATATTTCTTTTTGCAAGAGTCAGTCTTGCCTCTCAATTCCTCCTCCCTTGACATCAGGGTTACCTCAGAAAATCCTCATCACCTGTGCTCTATCAGATGAGTATCTCTTGCAGGAAGCTTTAAACTCAAAGGCAAATCAACCGCCAACATCGGACCTCCTCCGCCAGTTTCAAGAAAAGGTACCTGGAATGTGGGCTGAGACAAATCCCCCAGGCTTGGCAAGTCACTGTACCCCGGTCATGGTCCAGCTATTGGCAACGGCAACTCCAGTCCAGGTACGACAATATCCCATGAGCCAGGAAGCTAGACAGGGAATTGCTCCACATATAACCACTTCTAAAAGGAGAAATCCTTACTATCTGTAAGTCCCCCTGGAATACTCCCTTACTCCCCATCTTAAAACCAGGCACAAAGGACTATTGACCTGTACAGGACTTGAGGGAGGTAAACAAATGAGTGGAAACTTTTCATCCTACAGTTCCGAACCTGTACACCCTCCTGAGTCTAATGCCCCTGGACCACCTCCACTACACGGTCCTGGACCTAAAAGACTCATTCTTCTGTATACCGCTGGCTCCGGTCAGCCAGTCCATATTTGCTTTTGAATGGACTGACCCGGACACAGGGGTTTCTGGGCAACTCACTTGGACAAGACTGCCCCAGGGTTTCAAAAATTCCCCTACACTGTTTGATGAGGCATTGAGCCAAGACCTTACAGCTTTCCGAGCTGAGTTCCCAGAATGTACCCTGCTCCAATACGTGGATGACTTACTCTTGGCTACAAAAACCCAGGAGGACTGTAAAAAGACCACTTAGTCATTATTAAAATCCCTGCAGACTTTGGGGTACCAGGTCTCAGCTAAAAAGGCCCAACTCTGCCAGCTGAGAATTACTTACCTGGGCTATATTATAGAGAAGGGCAACCGGGCACTGGCACCCGGCTGAATCCAAGCAGTGCTGCAAATACCTACCCCCACCACAAAATGCCAACTTTGAGAATTCCTTGGGGCAGTAAGGTACTGAAGGCTATGGATTTTGGGATTTGCTGAGATAGCCAAGCCCCTGTAATGCCTGCACTGGAGGAAATCAGCCCTTGACATGGACAGAGGTAGAGCAACGGGCTTTTGACAAGCTCAAGACTGCCCTGACTGCGGCCTCAGCCTTGGCCTTGCCAGACAGCTCTAAACCTTTCCAGTTGTTTGTGCATGAAAAACACAGAGTTGCTAAGGGGGTGCTCACCCAAACTCTGGGACCCTGGTCCCAGCCAGTTGCCTACCTCTCAAAAAAAACTTGACCCTGTAGCCTCCAGATGGCCAGCTCGCCTAAGAGCGGTGGCAGCCACAGCCTTATTAGTTAAAAAGGCTGACAAGCTGACTTTGGGGCAGGAGTTAAACTTAGTAGCTCCCCATGCTGTGGACTCACTACTCCATGGAGCCCCGGGAAAATGGATGTCAAACACCCGCATAGTTTAATATCAGGCCTTACTTTTCTATTGGCCCCGCATAAAGTTCTTAAAGACTACAGTTTTAAACCCTGCCACATTGCTACCTGACAGCGAGCCAGAGGAGCCCATAC